TTAAGCTTTTGTATCTACTGCGACAGATTTCATCAGAGTAGGTATCCATACCTTCTTTAATAAGCCAAGAAAAAAGGTTTTCTTCGAAATGCAGATTCATGCCACAATATTTCATTAAGAAATTATTCAAAACCCAGTTTTTCTTGATATACGGAAATGTCTGGCCTTCCTTGAAATCCACATATTCCTTATAACCCAAAGTCATTCGTGGCATTGTGGTGAAGTGGTTAGAGTGTCGAGCCTACAGATTGCACTGTCATGGTTCGAATCCCGCTGGGAGTGCTTATAAAGCCTATGCGAGAACAACTTTTGATGAAATTTAATGGAAACGTTAGCTCTACTCATATGATTGTGAGTAGATTCAGCTACCAGTCCTTCATTACTGTAAACGAAATGGGGTGAATACTCTGCTTATAAGCGTAACATGCTAATTGGTGACTTTTGATCGAAACCATTCGAGTTGGATTCAGCAACTACAGACCAATCTCTTGGCTACCTTCACACCTTCGCCACGAATGAAAGCCGCGGCATTAAAGCCTTACCAGATGGCTTGGCTAATGGGCTTTTCATAATTGTTGAGCTTACTTTCACTTCGAGTGAAAGTATTGGGTGAAAAGATTCGAAGATCGCTTCCACCAGAAGACCAGTTGTCGATTGGCTTTTGTGGAAGATACATGCCGATGCTGTTTCCGAGGCAATCTCCTTCGATTCCGGTGAAAAGATACGACGCAGAATCTCCTTATCACACACTTTCACTCGAAATGGAAGTAAGCACAACAATACTTTCCGTGTTTCTTCACGCAGCAGAGGCGCATTGAAAGACTATTCGCCTCTTCCTCTCGACACCACATCTACTTGTGCCGGTCCAGGTTGGATTGGTGTGTACACAGCCACACGTCAACACACACCCTCAAAGTAGACGTATGAAGTGTGTGTCTGCAACAGTCCGAACTAGGATTGCCAGGCTGCCAGGTTGCTCCATACTTGTTACCAGGTCAACAGTGTTCTGACGACGGTGGTCTGACGGTATTCCCAGGCCATTCAGGAAATTTGACCCTCCCGACCGGCTGTCATGTGGGTAGGTCACTCGTGCCTGCAGGGTTGGAGGAGTTCATTTTGCGGGGTCAAGCGCTGCTGCACACTCCGGTCTCAGCGTTTGTGCGCTTGCAGCTGTCTCTGCGCCTGTATCCAAAAGTCCACATAAAGTGGTATGTTATCGCGAGAGGCCCGTATCGTGGGGTGTGTTGACGAGGTGTGATTGCGTGACTGAATGTGATTCCTGCCGTAAAATGGCTCGGCCGGCGGCCAAATCGTCAGACGTGGCTGTGTCAACGCAGCCGTTGACGATGGCTTGTCAAGCAGGCACTCGTGACATTTGCAGACTCTTCTTCAGCCCGGCCTCGAGGCTGCCGCCTCGTTCGACTTGACTCCTCACCCGGGCCGTCCTGACCCGAGCTGTGGCCAAAAAACGCTCAACCAAGCGGCTCCACGTCTCACCATTTCTCGTCTTTCGGACCGGTTAATTTCTATCACAAACCCCACCCATCCACACACCTACTCACTTGTCTCGTTGTGTGAACACACACACACACACTTTTCTGCCATCTCTCTGCCCTTGGCAGTAGCGACAAACCACCGGAAATTCCGACCCATAAAGTCAGTACAGCCGTCTCCATGACGCCTGCTTATGCCTGTACGTGTATGTGTGTATGTATGCATGTGTGCATGTGTATGTGTGTATACGCGGTGGTAGCTCTCGGTATTTTATTGCGCTTAGTCTATTAGCTTTATCAACTTAGGCGTTGGCAGAGGGGCAAAACAATAAATCTTTCCTTTTCAAGGACTTGTGAGCAGGTGGTGAAGCAATTATCGTTGTCAGGCAGGGGAGTTCTGGCAATCGGACAACGGGCTACACACAGCACCTCCTTTTCCACCATCGCCTGCCTCAGCTGCTTCTGGTGATCGCCCGGTCCAGTCAGCCCTCCAGACAGTATCTCCGGCCTCCACTATCGCACATTCACTTGACGCATAGTCGTGGCCAGGAGACCTTAGAATCCGACTGTTTGGTGTCTCTTTGGCGAAACCGACTCGTCTTCGAGTCGTGTGTGAACACATTTTCCACCGTGTCAAGTGTGTCCGAGTGCAATAAGGTAGCCTCATGTATGCATCTGCTCGGGGATACTCTGTACATATGAATAAGAAGATTCTCTAATAACTATCTGCCATGTCGCTCAAAGCGATTGAACGACTTACAGTCGACTTTTCCCACAATCGGGCCTCGCGTAGCCTTGTCTCCCAAGAGGCTATCCCCCCCCCCCTTAGACTGGACTGCAGTATCAGACTCATCAACACCCCCAGTGGGATTGGATACCGAGTCAGCATTACAAATTCACACCTTTACATTGCCACTGGTGCTATTGAGTCACAGAGCAGATACACATTTCTACGTCGGGATGGTAGATTGGGCAAAAATGTGTTTACTATTCCGTTCGAACTTACCTTTACACGTTGATTTTGAATAAATCTCTTGGTTTATAATTGTTGCGTTTACTTCCACCTCGAGTGAAAGTGTTTGATGCACTAATTCGAAACTCGATCCCACCAGAAGACGACGACGGATTCCTCTTGGCCAGCTGTCGATTGGCTATTTTGAAAAGTGCTTCCAAGGCAATCTTCTTCGATCCCCGTGAAAACGTGCTAAGGTTTCGTCCGTCGTATGACGAGCTAGCTATCATTCTTCAATCATATTCATGATAAAGAGTGATGAAAACTCACCGACTTATCCCTAGATACTATATATATATATATATATATATATATATAT